GTTACTTTTACTTAAGTAAATGATCTGAATACTTCTTGTACAACTTCTGATCTACTTTTTGATTGGTGAAGACAGCCTGGATGTTGAATGTCAGCACAGGATTTTCTACAAAGTGTTCCAGCACTGAGGAAAATAACAGCAGGAGGTACAGAGGATACACCAGAGCTCAACTTTTTTCCAAGATGCGAGCTGCTTCTGCACAGCACCACAGAAACACATCTTCCTTTGATTAACAGTGTGTTGCAGTGTGATCTCACCCTTGTTTGGAGCAGAACTGGTAGAACTTCTTACATGTAGCCTGCAGCAGCCGCAGACCTCCCAGGTACCTGCAGCGAATAATGAAAACAAAGATGTAAAAATCCTCTGTATTCCCACCTCTGTCCTCAATTTTTAGCTCTAAACTTGGTGCATACACACCCTTCCTTCCTGCTGATACAGAACAGATCTTGCAAGCTGCCAAACTCTGTGGGGTCATTGAGCGGATGAGGGACCAAAACCTGCAAAAATTCACATGATTTTAGCGCAGCAGGTCCAAGATAAAACGGTGTTTCATACATGTACGAGCATGTTTGTGTTACCAAAGTGTGGCTCTCCACCAGAGTGACTTCAGCCCAGAAGTTAGAGATGGTCATAGCGATGGTTTTCCCGTTAAAGCCATCTGAGGGATTCCCCATTAAGCCGACCCTGTGAGTTACCAAACATGTGGAAATTAGTCTTTAAAAGTGGTGAGTTCTGACACTGATGTCGAAGGGAGAGGAGGCTTTTATTTGAAAACTGGATGATCCACAGTAGCCTGAACTAAATTGTATGGAGTAAATGTGTGTTGCTGTGTTCTTACCTGGCATATGAGCGGCATGTGATTGGTACAGCAGAGCTGTTGTGTTGCTTAGTGGAGTAGTGGGTGAGCCACTTGGTGTAGTCTGACAGGCCCTGAGACGTCCACAGCAAACATGCAATTAGATTAAATTTATTAGAAAAAGGCAATAAACCACATTAAGTGCATATACAAATCAGCTGCAAAAGAAAACAGCATCCTAATGCTGTTCAGGGACTGGTTGGATTACCCCAAATATTAGCTTTGGCATTAACATCATTAACCTCCTTATCGCCTTTATCCTACTGGACAGTAATTCCTTATTTAATAAAGCTGCTTTGGAGGCAAAAATGATTCAATTAGCAAAATTAAGAAAAGATTTTCCTTATGTGTAATCTCATCAAAATAAATTAATAATAATCAGTCTCAGGCCTTCATCTCTGGCTTTTGGATCTGTGAATCTTAAGAAGCCGATGCTGTGTGGAAATGACACAAACAACAGCTGCTGAATTGAGGTAAGGATACAAACCACTTGTCCAATGAGCTGGAAGCCGGTGGGAAGCTTCATACCAAACACATCGAGCTGCTTCTCATTGATGAGCCACTCCTGAAGAGGAAGGAGCCATAAAAGGTTATTACTTTATTGATTGGTCATAATGTGCTGATGTCATTTAGAATGGGTGGAATAGAATTACACACAGCCTCAGTGAGTCGAACATTGAGCTCTGAGTTTGTCTTCACAGTGACAAGCAAAGTCAAAAAATAAAGGGAACTTAAAGGTGCAATAAGCAAGATTTTGAAAAGCAATATATTGGCAAACAACTATCTGCTATGTGAAGCTGCAGTGGAGTAATGTAACTTTTAGCAGAGTATGACGTCACACTCCCTCTGTTTGTGCTGTAATCTGGGCTTCTTTGTTCTATGTTTGGTAGCTGCAGCTCTGTACAGCTCTTCATGCACCTTAGTGCATGTTAGTACATGTGAGTCCCTCCCTTTGAAACTTTGCTCCTAAACAGGTTCTAAAAAGACTAAAAGTGACCTCGAATGCAACACTGGAAAATATAAACTGCAGTCCAGAGGTAGAAAACAAAACAAAACATTTTATTTAGGCTATAACTTTGCTGCATGTCATTTCTACACAGTGTCTCTGCTGCTTGTTCTCTCCTCTGCTACTCCTTCTCTGCTATGAATGTTTCCACTTGGACACACGTGTTGTAAATGAAAAGTGAAAGGAGGTCTGAGATGCTTGTGCTTTATAGGGACAGTCCAGTGGCTCAGTGTTGCATACAGAACCTTAAAATCAACAATGGTACGTGTCCACCAAGGCCGTTTTAAGCACAAGGGTTCGCACCACTTCCCACTGCTGGACCCTTGATGGACGTACAACTATCCAGTGACAAGAACCATGATTGAGAGGTTCTCGTCAACAGGAGTCTAACGGAGGCTTCACCCTAATTCAGCCCCGAAAACATCAGCTGCACCTGATTGGGCGGAACCTTCAACCTGAGGCTGCCTGCTACTGAATTTTAAACTGGACCAACACTGCAACTCATTTGATAACTTTTGCTTGTATTACGAACACCGTTCACCGTCTCGGTGTCTTGTCCTTAGGGTGAACCAGTAATGGCTCCTTAAGGATATCAGTATCTGGAACTCCCAACTAGTCAGTCAGAACTAGTGAAACCTCTTGGATGAGAGGTGGAACGTCTTCGAGGAACTCAAGCAGGTCCAGTTGCTACGATTAATCTACGAGAATAACTATGACCTGGATGACTGAGAATCTTCACAGACGTCTTCATGTTACGTGAATTTGAGGAGCTTGAGGAGTGTAATTAAGTCTTGCATGACATAACAAGAACAATACGAGCTGCTTCGACGTCACTTACGAACCCAGAATCGCCCGAAGGACCTGTTTGTGGCTTGAGGCAGCAGCCTGAGGAAGTCGGACATGTAGGGCAGCGTGTCTCTCTGGATGCAGTAAAACACCACGCTGGCCAGACGGGATGTTGTCGATCCGTCCTGCGGTTTCTCCAAGAAGCGAGTTATCCTGGTTCAAACAAACCACAACCAATTAAAACCCAATCTGCCACACGGTCCCATGTACCAGTTAGCTTCAGACACAAGCTCAAATGTATCTGCTGTAGGAATCCGTCTCGTGTGGTGGATGAACTTCACCTGTTGGTGTCAGGGCAGACCTCCACGATGCCCCTGGAGCTGCTTTTCTCACTTTCTTCCAGCTCGTAGTATATCATGAGCTCTCCTGGCTGCAGTACAGACACAAGACACTGGGCTATTAGGAGTTTACTCAACATTCCATCCAGCAAAATCACTGATTGCTGAGCTGACTAATTTGGCTTTCACTCTACAGAAGCTTCAGCAGCTGTGTGCACGATAACACAACAGAAATTTGAAGGAGTTCGGGCTGCTGTAATTAAACAGCTGCCTCCTTGACCTGAGTAGGCGGTCGCAGATAATGACACGGCATTTGAGGGTTAATAAAATTTGCTAACTTATGTATTTTTATTCTCCTGGCAACAACTTCTTCATCAATTATTTAACTACAAAATCTGCAAGTGCTACCACAGCCAAACTGGTAGAGAATCTTTTATGATGAACATCCTGCAGACAGATTTGATGATATATATGTGCATGAAAACACAAAGTCCTGGTGCATGTTTGTGTCAGTGTAACTTACATCTACGTTGAATGTGAAAATCTCACCTTTGATCTGAAGAAGCGAATAACTTGAGCGATGTCAAAGTTCTGGTCTGCACACAGCATGTCTCCAGCGATCTGCTCACACAGAGAAGACGGTCTAATTGTACAACAGACAGCGGTGGGAGTGACTAAATATGATCACATGCGTGCACCACCTACCACCATGATGTCGTCCTGCAGCTTGCGGCTGCGTATGACCAGCTCCAGGTCAGCCACGGCACCGAGGCGGTCCTCCAAAGTAGTGCTGCCATCATTTATCACATTTTCCACCGGGAAGTCATTAGCCGTGGCCCAGCGCTCGTAGTGCTTATACCTGCTCGGTGGAAGAGAACAGGAGCAGAAGGTAAACACAAGCAGCTTTGACAGCAAACTGTGGAAAGACTGTGAAATTAAGAGCAGCTGGTTGATTCAAAACAATCAGAACTCACTTGTCTGCATTGGTGACCAGGTACACTTCAGTGAAGAGCTGTCGCCTGGAGACAAATCACACATGGCAGTCAAGGAATCACTATGTTTTAGAGCAGGGGTCTCAAACTCACGGCTCGTGGGCCAATTGGGGCCCAGTGGACGATATTTTGTGGCCCCCTACTTAGCATCAAAGTTTAACGTTAGTCTGGCCAGTGTGTTCTTCTCACACGCACCTGTGTGAGCCGTTGCCCTGGGCGTTTTATAGTTTTTGTATCACTTAATAAGTCAAAGTGCAGGTCTAAACTTACTGATGAGCATCTTCAAGCCATACTGAGGGTCTTAAATGTTTACTCCCTCAAGGCAAATGTGACTCAGCTGTGTAAGAGGAAGCGCTGCCAAGTCTCTGGCAGCAAGGAGGAGGTAAGAGAAGCCTATGCTCTGAAGAACCTTTCATGTTCTGAATTGTTATTAGTAAAGATTGAGAAGATTGGATCAGTTGTACTATTTTTTGGATAATTGAAACCCTTTTTGGGGGGAATACTTAATGCAACCTCACCCAGACTCTTACCTCCAGCGGCCCCCGGGTAAGTTGAGTTTGAGACCCCTGTTTAGGAAATCAAAAGATCATGAGAAATTAGTCCTGTCCACGTCCAGGTCTCTCTTACGTACATGTTGACAGTTTCCCACCAGAAGTCAAGGATCTTCTTCCCTCCAGTGCCAGGAAGCAGAGCCTTGGGTACCCCGGTCAGGTGGCTGTACAGGCCTGTGTCATCATTCTGGGATGGAGAGGATTCACACACAGGCTTCACATGACTGGACTACACAGTGTCAGTGTGACACAAGGCTAAACATGCTGCTTTCTAGGACATGAGTTTGGTTCTAGGCCTAAATAACAGCTATTTGCTCTGTATTAACAACGTAGATAACTCTGTAATAAACTATTTGAGGTTTATTTGCTTATTCACAGTATACAGTCAAATTATTCAGACTTACCCTAAGTTTAGCTCTTTTTGGTTTTTTTTTGTTTTTTGTTTTTTTACAGATTTTTTATGAAACAACACTTATTTTTCTGGTTGGAAATGACATAAACAAGTGACAAGAGACATGATGTTACAGGTGTGAATGATGAATTTGAACTATTTATGTTTTTTTTTTTTATTTTTTTTTAATGTTTTTACCAAAAATGACATCTCTGAATTATACATATTTCTCAGTAATCATAATAAAGCCTATATTCCAAACAGTTCTTGCTAACAGTCTTTCTGCATGTCTCCTCTGGGGTTTCGTTCCCTCTTTGTGATGATCTTTCAGGGTTAAAGGCTTCCTCTCATCCCTCAGGTCTTCAGCTCACTGCACAGACTCTCGACAGCATTCAGGTTTGGTCGCTCCAAAACGCTCATATTGTTTTCTGATAGTTATTTCTTCACCACTCTGGCTGTATGTTTCCAGTCACTGTCTTGTTTGAAGGTCCGATGCTGCCCAAGGCCAAAGTCTTTCCCAGAAGGTGTTGAATTCTCACCACCATGCTAGATTGTGGTGACGGCGTTCTTGGATTTTAATGCTCTTTCTGTCTTTCACCAAGCCAAAGCCACGTCCTTGTGACCAAACAAGTCCATCTTCATCTCATCTGACGACAGAACTGAAGACCCAAAGCTTTCTTTTTTGAAGTGAAGTCTTTCTTGGTCTTTGTTGATTGAGATCATCCTTGTTCAGTGTCTGCATGAATATCTAATTGACATGTTGCTACCACAACAACTCAGATTCATCAGGATATTTTTTGTTGATGTGATGATTTTCGGATTCTTAAAAAATAAACAGTGTTATTCAAAGCTTGGCATGGCTATGAGTAATTATGGGTTTAATTGTGTGTGTCAAGAATGCTCAAATCTACAAACAACAATAATACATTCGATTAAAACCAGGAAAGTTATGCACTTGGGTTTTAATTAATGCAAAATGGAGCTACTGGTGACATTTCACAACCCCGGGATCATGCAAGGACTCTCAGGGCTCAACACGCCCCGTTCTAGGCTTTAGTATTGGACACGCCAAACGTAATGTAAGAATCTGGCTCCGTTATCTTATCTTTCTTTCTCGGTAAACACGCTAAATTAATAAACCGATTAAAGCTGTCGTGTCAAGCATTAGATAGCCAACAATGATTCGGCTCACACTTTAAACCAAAAAACTAGCATGTAATTTAATAAAATCTCAACTTTAAAGAAATTCTTATGTTGTCACAAAACCACTACGCCCTGTAGGGGGCGGTGGAGACCAGCGTGGGGCAATGATGGAAAAATGTTATTTTATGGAAATGACATGATGGTTTTTCGGTGGAGTATGAGCCGAATGCTCCAGAGTACCGTTATTAATAACAACATATCCGTAGTGACAACCTACAGACACAAACACAGCCTGCACGTAACGCAGCGATGAATTAGCAAATCCCTCAATCCAGATCTGACCGCTTCACAACTGACGTGAACTTTGCACTTCTCCAAGTTGTTCAGCAAGATTCAAGCGACTTACCTTAATTTGTGTCTCCAAAACGGTCCCATGACCGGCTACCAGCAGTATACAGATCATTGGGGGAGGCTTAAATATTTCTGGTGTTTCCTTAAAGTGTACAGGACCAGACGGCCAGCGGTTCAGAAATGCCTGCACACAGTGAGTCAGCTGGAGGTTCAGTCAGCTCGCGTCAACGGAGAGATGTGGTTCCGGAAAGACCCTTCAAAATAATACACCACCGGTCAACATGCACAGACATTAAAAGACAGGGAGATGAATGCGATAAAATAAAATCAGTTCTTCATCGTTTAACCAATTTATCAACTTTAATAAACACAACTGGAAGTGGTTTATGACATATAGTATATTATTTGATATTTTTTATTATAAAGACATACATAGCCTACCTACAATGCCATGCTCACCACCTCCTGCTTACTTAGTTAGTTACATTGTTGCAATGTAATTATTGTCCCCAATGAGGCTTCATGTAACATAGAAAAATACAAAGCGAAAAAAAACAAAATAAAAGCTGGACTATGAACTGGATGACAAACTTGGTATCAACTGGTCAACAGATAGACTGAAGGAATACGACGTTTGGAGACATTAAGAAGAGTGCTTTTGATACAGAAATGACTGCAGAGGGCTGTGCTACGAAGCAAGTTTGACAAAAAACAGAATTTCTTTGTGTAAGCCGGCAAAGAGATAATGGAGATCATAATCAGCTTTCTATGCTGACCCAGGCTTTCTTCACGGTCTCTTTTTTTTCCCCCCCACACGAAATGGACCAATGATGTGCCACCTACCTAATTCAGAGGTTATAACTTGAGTCATAATGAAGAGCTATGAGGAGTAGAAAAATGCATCACGATAAAAAAGCACCGTCACTGCAAATGATGCACGAGAGGAATGTGGGTAAAAAAAAATTGTTAATCGTTTAAGTTAATACATTTACTCTACCGATCAATGCAGCTGTTTCTTTCTAACATACAACTGCACATTAGCATTCATTTAAACACGATATTCGACAAGTGCGTTTAGGTCTGACACTGTCCCATGAAGAAGGATCACTAGTTTTAGGTTAAAAAAAAGTGAAATCAGTTTTACTTTACTGAATTTTCTTTGTAAATAAGCTCATTATTTTTCTAGTCTGTTGTCTATTAGCTGCAGTACCATCAGTGTGAAACGGACTGGGCAGCAAATTAGGGTCAAAAATAAAAATGTATTTATGCATTTTCTGCATCACTTGAATGCATGTAGCGCACATACGCAGCAACACAACAACACATTGTGCGACACTAGAACTGCAGGGCTTCGTTCACTGATTTACAGCTCAGCGGATTTGCTGATACAAGAATCTGTATCACTCAGAGAGAATCAGGAGAAAAACAACTGATGCTTCTTACAGTCAATTTCAATCCCAAACTCTAAACAGAGCCTCCTCCATGACCGGCTGAGTGTAGCATCAGTTACCATGGTGATTTAACAGGTGAATACAGAGCCACATTCATGACAGGGAAAATTCTGGCCATTAATCTTGCTTCGTATTACACAGCTCGGAGGTTAGGAAAAGAAACTGGACACGAGAAGCTGGTCATGTTCTGAAGCTTACTGCACTGGAGGCTTACTAACAATCATGTTTGTTGAGGGAGGCATTCAATGAGGGCTTTGCTAAATCAGCGGGACTTGTGAAGCAGATCTTTCGTCTTTACGTAATGATTGTATTGTAAATACTATGTAAAAGATTTCAATGTTGTAAAAAGCTTCAAAAACAACGTTGGATTTGAATATTCATTACAATATTCAGTTATTTCCCCTATTTCATGCACGCTCGATCACATATAAAGTATCTAAACGCATTTCAAGTACTCTTTTGGCCCATGTGTGGTTGTCTTCAAATACCCGTCGGCAACAGGCTTCTACTGGGGGTCTGTGCTGGATGATCCCACAATGCCATGCTGTCGCAAAAGATTTCTCAGGATCTGATTCTTGGACTTCCAGTCTTCCACCTGAGCAACAGCAAAACACACACAACACAACAGACATTCAGTAAGAATAAATAGAATGTAACGGCTGACTTAGGACTTTGTACTAGGAATGCAAAGATCATGACTAAGATACGTGTAGGAAAACTGGGATTTTATGAGAATGTAGCTACTTCATTTCTTGACAGTGGCGCCCATGAATCTGGATTGAAAAGTAAACGAAATGCATTTACAGCGAAGGCGAGAAACATGACTGATTAAATGTCGGCCAAAAAATAGGACTTGTAATAATTTTTGCCAAGAAATCTGTCTTTGATGTGTGCTGCAGAATTTGTTGCATATTGAGAAAATATACATTGACTGAAACAAAAGATCTGTTCCTCATAACTGTAAGCTCTGACTTGAAAGCAGCTCTAATCATTAACTTCAACTTTGGAGAAAAACAGAAATTCCACATGAAACAGATAGCACCTGAAATGATCTGATGCCCAACATTTAGTTTCTAAAAGTGACTTTCTGCAGCCTTCCCAGGACTTACAGTGTAGTAAACAGTAGACTTCTGACTGGACAAACAAGAAATGTTACGAGACATTTATGGGCCAAGCTATTCAATTAATTCATCAAGATAACCAAATAGAATAATCCTTAGTTAGATCATCATGTTTGGATTGTGACTGACATGCTGTTAACAGACCACTTAGGACAGGGATCTCCAACTCTGGTCCTCGTGAGCTACTGTCCTGCAGGTTTTAGACGTTTCAGTACTGCAACACACCTGACTCAGATTAATGGATCATTAACAGACTTGTGTAGAACTTGACAGTAGCTCACGAGGACCGGAGTTGGAGATCTCTGACTTAGGAGTTACTAAAGCTGGACTAGGTTATCTGTGTGTGTTTCCAGGCTGAATTTCTACAAAGGTCAGTGTATAAAGGTCACAAAGTGGAAAAAGTAAAGACACTTGACAGCTTCAGTGGTTCACCGTTTAGTACACGCCATCGTACCTCCTGTCTGAGCAGCTGGTTGTCAATCCTGAGACGATCCAGAACACTGATATCTTCCCCCAGCTTCAGGTTGCTCTGTCGAAGCTCCTTGATGTACTCGCAGGCTTTGGACAAGATCCCCCCTTTACTCTGAAACACAACACACAATGGTTTAAAAGAAGTTAAGATGACAAAAACAACTACTTGCCTTTTGGCTGTGCTCACAAGAACATGTTCACATTTTAAAACATGTAACATTTACTGTTTACATGGAGCATCGACACTCCTCCTGAGTTCAACAGAGACCTTCTGAAACGCTGCTGACCCCGATATTACAGACCAGCATGTTTGCTTTCTGACTGGGTCTTCTCTGTCCCTGATTCATTACGCCCCTATCACATAACCTTTTCCAGAAGAAAAACATGACATCAGCTGTGACTACCAGGAACGGTTTCACTACTTTGTCGATCCAAGCAAAGAAATCTCCAGCCTTGCTTTCAATGATAAGCAGAAGAGAGGTAAATCCCTCAGCTTTCAGGCTCCTCTGATGCGAGACACAAGCTTTCAGTTTGGGCTTTTTACTTTAAAGATTAGGCTTAGACTGCTGGGGGACTTCCCATGATGCACTGAGCACCTCTCCTTCTCTCTCCATACATATATATGTCACTATTGCCTTTGCTTCACTCTCTTCTGTCCTGTTGCTTTGTCATGCGTGCAGGTATCGCTGCTCCCAATATTGAACTTATCATCACTGTTGTTCGTTCTTTATATTATATCATTGATAGATTGCTTTAAAACAGCATTTTAAAAAGAAGTGAATGTTTTTTACATCTTTATCTTCCAGCATGAAGGTTTTTGCAACAAACTGCTAACAGAGAATAACAACGTTCCTCTTTATTTTTACTGCGAAATACAAAATGCTGTCCGTGTCTGCTGACAGAGGTAAACAAACACTCACCTGTCCTGTCTTGGTGTAGTCAACGTTACAGTCTGGGATGGCCTTTGAAAGCTGCACAATCCAGTTGTTGATCTTGTCCCTGCGTCTGCGCTCAACTGTTGAAATAACAGTTCAATTTGACACTTGACACCATATTGAAACATCTCTGCCAAACAAAAGCATTCACACTGGATATGTGCACCGACCTTCGTTGTGCTGGGCTCGCCGTTTCTCATCTCTCGAGGCCCGAGGAGCCTCCTGCTTTCTAGAAAACAGAACAGAACCAAGATAAAGTCAGCTCCACTTGCTGGAGGCAGACGAATTTCAATTAGATGAAGATAGGTATTTTTATTTAAATACGATCTGATTTTGTAAATCATAATGTAATTACGCGATGTATGGCTGAGTGCGAGGTGCGATTGTCCGCTGATTTGATCCTGTCAAAACCTCCTGGGGTGACATCATAACATAAAGCTGACCTGTAAAACAAAAGCTTACTGTTAGTTGCAGAGATAACGCAGGAGTAGGCAACGGACATCTGGTAATGCACACACTCAAATTCAAAAAAATGTAATTAATGACTGAATATTAATCAAGATTACAGGCAATTTAAAAAACAAAAAGATCCTCCTTGTTTGGAAATGTAAAAATTTCTTTCGTTTATTCATAATTACTACTGAAATTTAGTTTTCACAAAGTAGGCGTCAGCTGAAGAGAAGCTGTACAGTATTTTATGAGGAATAACACAAGATCTAACACAATGTTCTCTGTACGCCTGCCTTGCCACAGCTACAGTCGTGGAAAAAATGATTAGACCAACCTTGTTGTCTTTAATTTCTTGTTCATTTTAATGCCCGGTACAACTAAAGGTACATTTGTTTGGACGAAAAAAAATATATATATATTTACATCTAGCCATGTTCCATGGTTTTCTTGATAGTAACCAAAATCATTTCTGTTCTTACATTAATAGCTACGGCATTGTACTGCCAAAAACAGGGCTGTTAGACATTCTATGTTTTCTTTTCTGTCTGTTTTAGTCACATGATAAACACAGGAGTTAGTACTTGATTGCATAACCACTGTTTCTGAAGACTGCAGCCATGTGTCTTGGCCTGCTCTCCACCAGCTTCTGGTATTGTTCTGCTGTCACAGCAGCCCATTCCTGTT